GACACACACACACACTTGTACAAACCTTATTCTTCTAATTATGAAATAAGTCGTGGCTATCATGGCACCATTTATCAGCAAGAATACTCCAAAAGCAATCAGTTTTGGTAATCTCACCATCTCACCTTGGTATCGTTATGGGAGAAACACAACAATAAGATTATAACCTCAGACACATGATGTAAGGTAATAGTTCTGATGTTGTTATTTAATAATTCAAACCTATGAGAGTAACTGTTTTTCAAACAAATCATGTTGTTGAATTATTTCCATGCAGCCTTTGTTCCTAAATATTTGCACGGATGTGACGAGGTTAGCACAGTCGCCTCACAGAAAGATTACAATCCCATAGCAATCCCCAAATGCATTCTTTCCATTTAAACAACAAACTCACATTTTTAATTGTAATTTTCTTATGGGAATTAGCAAAAGTCAAAAGTATAACTTTAGCAAATGTTGAGGGTTCTTTAAAAATATTAATTTAGTGTTTCTGAATCAAGCAGATCAGATAACTTTACTTACCTTCAACAACAAGTTTGGTGATTCTTTCAAATTTACCACTGGGAAAGGCGGAAATGCTGCAGGTGTACAACCCCGCGTCTTCCATTTCCACAGCCTTAATAATCAGCGATTGTCCTGCCAACTTCACCCTCTGGCTCAGTGGAGAATTGGGAATATTCAACCCAAGCTGACTGTTATAAACAATAAGGGGGACTCCCTCTTGCTCTGGTTGCAGGAGAGTCCACTGAACCTGAGTAATATTTGTATTCTCTGGCTGCTGGATTAATTGGCAGGGCATGGTGACATCATTTCCAATAAATGCAGACACTTCAGCCGAGGCTTTGAGTTGTTTTGCACCCAGAACTGCCAAAATTAAATTGTGACATGGTGGCAAAAAGTTAGCGCTAAAAAAGCTGCTTTTTTTCCACTATTATTTTAGTAATAACGTTAATTCTAATAACATTTATTCTAGAATATACTGTGCAGAAAAGAAGTACAAACATTAGAGTCTTACCTGTGTGTAATGAAATGTAAATAAGCGTGAACAGCAGGTGGGATATTCTGTTGCAAATTTTCATTGTGCACAACAGGCAGCGGACAAAAAAGAAGACGTCTTAGGAATCACAGTGTTCCTGATTTGGTCCACTTTGATGTTAACACAAAGTCTGGCAGCAGGAGACTCAAATTGATACAACATGTGGCAAACACCGAGAAAAAGTGTTGGCAAAGAGAACCACAATGACAAAGTGTGAGTAAGCACACAGAGTTCCTCTTTGTCCAAACCAAAGAGAAGAACAAAGCAAAATTAAAATAAAATTAAAACAACACAACCAAAAGAGAATTTAGAAGTAAAAAAATAAATAAATCTTTAATTGGAGATTTTGTTTTTTATTTGTGTTTTTTATTTGATGGGATGGAAGGAAATAAGAAAATAAGTGTTCAACAGATTGTGATGTGTAATAGTTCTGTTTGTAATTATCAAGTTTTATATATGAAACTTAATTTTTCCACAATTTAATTTAAAAAGCCAAACTTTAGATGCATATAATCTATAGGCATTAGATCCAAAGTGGATATGGCTTCATTAAAATCAGGAAACAGTGTCTCAAATCTTTAGAACAAGCTCCACCAAAACTTGTTTACAATACAGAAATGTCCAACTTGTGAAAAGTATATTTATTTATATGCTCACCACTACTTCATCAGTGTGCCATAGCATGAAGGTGATCAGCATGAGGCACTGGGTGTTCTGACAGAGGCTTTCAGCTCATCTGTAATTCGGAGTCGGGTGTTTCTCATCTTCTTCTTGATAATATGTCGCAGCGTCTCTGTGGGGTTCAGTTCATGTATGTTGGATGCTACGTCCTGCTGGAGAAAGAAAATCAGCATCTTCATAAAGCAGGTAAAGCCATGAAGTAAGTGTCCTGGTAGTTGGCTGTGTTGACTGTGTATTGACTTTAGACATCAGCAGATCACATGGCACCCAAAATCATCACAGACTGTGGAAACTTCACACTGGACTTCAAACACTTGGATTCTGTGACTCTCTGCTCTTCATTCAGACTCTAAAATTTGATTTCCAAATTAAATGCAAAATTTCTTTTCATCTGAAAAGAAGACTGGATCACTGAGGACCAGTTCAGTTCTTCTCCTCAGCCAGGTGAGGCTTGTCACATTGTCCCTTGCTCAGCATTACTGGTTAACATGACTTTCCTGACGATGTCTGTGTGTGGTGACTCTCGATGCACTAACACCAGCCTCAATTCAATCTTTATGAACCTCTCGCAAGTTCTACACTCAACTTTTCTTGACAATTGTTTCAAACAACAGACATCACTGTCACCTTTCCAAGAACTAATTAAAATACTTCCAATGTACCTAAAAGACAGTCAGTATATTTTGGTACAGCGCTCTGCAAACAGCCTCTTTAGCTATGACCTTACCACCTTTGTGGAGGGTCTTGATGACCGTCTTCTGGACAATTTTCCCATTACTGTTG